ACAGTCTTGTTTACAAGTGGCCTCAGATACAGCAATTACTTACAGATGCGTTTTCTGGAAAGCGACATCTTATGGCGAACATTTTTAAACTAAGAGAGATTTAGGTTAGATGTTAGGAAGAAATCTTTTACTCATAAGTTGGTGAGGCACCAGAACAGCCTGCCCAAAGAAGTTGCAGATGCCCCATCCCTGGAGGCACCAAAAGCTGGGTTGGACAGGATCCTGGACAGTCTGATCTAGTGGTTGGCAACTCTGCCCGTGGTAGCGGGGTTGGAACTGGACGATCTTTAAAGTCCCCTTCAACCCAAGCCATCCTATTTTTCTGGCAGAAACAATATTTTCAGAGCAGAGTTCCAGAAGTGCAGCCCATGAATCACTGCTGCATGGTCCAAAATGGAACTCTTAAAAGTAGCTACTTCTGAGAGACATATTGCTATACCAATTAAAAGGTCAGCGTCCACAACACTAGAATGAAAACCTCACATCTGAGTGCTCCAGGAAGTAATGCCTCCAGCCAAAGTCAACAGTGACACATGGAAGAGTCATCCCAGAACAGTCTGGACAGTGCCTCAGCCATACATCCAGATCCCATACACTCCTCCAGCTACACCCATTACTAAGCTTGGCAATGAGAATCTGTTTCAAGACCCATTCCAGGAATACTTATGTCACCATTTAAAGAGTGAGTTTTTGTTTCTGTAAGGACTCAAAAAGAAAAGCAATAACACTTTACTGTTCAGACAAGAAACTGGACTGTGGAATTTTATTCCCCCCCCTAAATAAACTCTTATTATTTGCTCCTGCCTGGTAAAAATTTTGAATTCCTGCCTCGGGTGGTATGTAGGATCTATAAACCTCTTAGTGCAGATCATGTTTCTTTTCTAGTAAGGAAGAACAATTTACTAGCAGTGGAGTTGGACTCTGCTATCAAGTGCTGGCACATACACTTTTTAATGTGTAAACATTACTCCCCTGCTCCCTTTGTGCCAATGCTTATTATTGAAATGCCTTCACACACAGAGCCTTTCATTTGCTAAGACTCCCAAAATACTGTTAGGAGTCTCACTTGGGATGCCTTCCCCACTTTGCCAGCACTGTCTACTTAGACTGAAAACACGAGACACAAAAGCAAAAATATTTGAATAAGGTATTTAAGACATATGATTGTCTGAAAAATCAGACGTATTTTCACCCTTAACAAATTGCACATATTGTGTAAAAATGACTTATCCTACTTATATCTAATCAAGTTTAACTGCATGAAGTTTGTCCTCAAGCACAGGGACCCCAACTGCCACTGCACTGAACCAATGTAAGGACTCCTCCTCGATACACATATTCCCCCATTCATTTCTGCTAACAGCAACACAACTGATTATTTCAGCTTTGGCATCTTTAAAATCTTCACAGGAGCAGAAACCCTTTAAGCCTATAACAGTTCCTGGACCCTGCCAGAGACAGCAGCTCAGCCTTATCACATGTTACTTTTCCGAAAGCAGTCCAAGCCATATCTTGAACTCGGATCAACCATCCTTTGTTTTTTGTTGTGATAAGGAAAATTAAACCTGGAACACATCCAGTTTTTATTACTGGAAGTGCAATATACACAACACAAGTAGAGGTAAAATGTGGCACTTCACATACAGTCAACACTATGTGGTATTGGATTACATAAAAGAATTCAAGAAAGCAATTAAGAAAGAAAAAAAATGAGGAAGAAAGAAACATTTTAAATATCAGTGCTGTGCTTTCTCTTATAATGCTTTCCAACAACAATGCAGCCAAAAAGCCTGAAAAAAAAAAAAAATTGAGCCATCAGAAGTTTATCATCATAGAAAAGGAAAGAAGTGTATAATTTCTATACTTCTAGTTTTATGTATTTCATAAGAGTGCTGCTTTCTGAACTCCTTTGCTCCAGCGTGCCCATGTATACCTGAGCATGCAGTCTGAACTCACTGCTGTCATGCTGTATTACCCTATTACACGTGTACTGTATTAGATGTGACATCTTGTCTCTGCAAGTTAAAGATATCACTGCATATTGTTCCCTATAATTACACTGCTGTTTGATATCAGTACAGAAGAAAATGAAAGCTACACACTGCAGAATTATTTGTGACGTTTCCATAATTATGTAGATATATACACTACACAGAGAAACAATTTGTGTTAATACAGCCTGAAAACAAATATTCTCTCAAGAATGAAGAACATGAATATGGTTGTGAGATGCTTATAGGCTATCCAAAAAAGAAAACAATGACTTAAATGAAGGATCTACTGGTAAGAGGGAAACAAAGAGACATACAATTTACAACTGCATACATTTCTTTTATACAGTGATATAAAAGTTAAACCAAACATAACATCTCCTTTTTTCTGTGAACTTTGAAAGAATAAAGTCATAACAAAATCCAAATTTGTTAATATTATTTGCTGCAACTGAACACTACAGATATTTTATAATAGCAGTATAACAGTTAATGATCACATGCTGTACCTCATCAGCAAATAATGAAATAAAATTCTTTTATTTTTCCTCTATAATTATACATAGATAAGGGAACAAAAGAAAAACATGGACAAAAATAAGTTCCTTCTTCACATGCAAATCAAAATAAAGAAATCAGGATATAACTCCCTTGGGAAAGAAATCTGCAGGAAAAAGTTAATAAAATAATCATATTAAACATGTAATTATGTGCGTTACAGCCCAACTACTTTTAAAATGCAATTCAGGCTCAAGTAATTCCTAGTTTCATTGGGTTCCACACGTAACTTATTTGTCTGTTGCCACAAAATTACTTACTACAGCATCACACAATACAAAGCCATCTTCAGTGATCACCAGTAACTCAGCTCTGTACAACTGAAGTCAACGTAATGCTCTTAATGATTTCCATAAGAAAAGAACTAATTTTCAGAGAGACAAATGACAGCAGCCAGGCTCATAACACGCAGTTCTGCTTTGTACAATGCCTCTTCTTGGAAAAAAAAGAGCCTTTTGCAAGCTACTGCCCTGCTTCTTGCAGGCAAGGTGGCAGAGCTTAGCCAAGAGCTAGAGATGGCTATCTCACAATGAGATTTTACATTCTCTAAAATCAATAGCAATTCAGCTGCAAAAGTACAATCCAGTTATGCGCTATCATCTCCCATTATTACTATTATTTTTTAAGAGCGTCTAATGTTTGCTGGTTTTCTGTTTAACATCTTGCTAAAAGAATAATCAAGGGAGCTACAGCTGGAAGAAAAAAAAGGGTCCTTCTGGCATTGCTCTGCTTCTGAAATAGGGCAAACACAGACTGCTAAATCCCAGAACTTGCTTTTCTTCACACTAAACTTCATTATTTTTCTTTCCCAGCAATCCAGGAAAAAGATAAATAAGGAATCCATTTTAAAATCACAATGGAAGATACTTCAGGCATCTTTTCACATTCTGGCACTGGTATGGTTTTATTAGTCAACATCATTCTTAAGTAGTCATTACAAATAAACGATGTAAAAATTATGATGTAATTATGACATCACAAGTTGGATTATGCTAGACAGTAGCACCTACTTAAGCACTATGAACTGTTTTTAATACTAAAAATAAAACAAAGATCTTTTATTTGGGGATATGAACTGCAAACATTTTTTAAAAATTGCATTCAAAAAAAAAAATTCTTCTGGCTGCCCTCCAGCCTTCCCAATTGTACTGTTCTGCATTGTATGGATATGAATGTAGAACATAAAAGAAATATGACTAGCTAAAAGGTAGGAAAGCATTTCTGAAGATTTTCAGAATCTACAATAAGTTTTATTTATTTTATGAATTAAATCGCTCAAGGAAGAACCCAAAGGGTGAAACAACCAGTACAAATGATTTTAAAGCACAAGGAATGCCTTGCAGGGAGGATGTTGAATGACAGCTGTGGCTTCAAGAGTGACTAGATATAGTGAAGGGAAGTACAATTGTCCCACACATTGATCCTGCCTTGCATCAGCATAAAGCCACTACCATTCCCCTGCAGGGCACTTTACAGCACATACACTCCAAACACAAGAGTCTGAAAAACCATAATAGGAACTCATGTGATAATGATTTTTATTTGGAAGATAATGGGGGTTTTATTTATCTAGCAAATGTAAACCCTGCTACAGGTGATGCCTAGAACTAATTTTCCCACCACAGCATCTGATAAACTTTCTCTGATGAAATATTCTTTTTTGTTAGAAACTAGCAAATAAATCCCAACTAGGCTATGGTTTGTATGTGTAAACACCCACACTCAATTTATTTTGATTTATCCTTGGATATGTCCATACTAGATATAGTCACCAATAACCACAAGCACAGAACCCCAACCTCAGTTGGGAGTCACATTTAATAAACCTAAAGGTTTTGTTAAACTCAGTATAATGCCTAACAATCAAGTAAGGCACAAAAACTTGTTTAATCCCATACAGGTAAGGCCACACAAGAGAGGGAGGAAGCCCCTTTGCTGCCTGGTTCATGTAGCATGCCTTCCTTATAGCATTCTCTTGAATTCTCACTTTACCACAACTGAATGTCTTAAATTCACCAAAAATGAAGACACAAAACCCCAAAACACCATGGAAAAATTCTCTTGTGCAATAGAAACAGGGAATATTAACAGAGCAGGCTTTACAGTCAACTTTGCAACAACTCAACCTTAAGACTTTCTATTATTTATATTTATTTGAAACTACACTTACTATGAAAAGCATCATTACAAAAACTACAGTTTCCTCTAAAGCAGCAGGCACTCTACTAGATATTCCACTTACAAATACTAGGCTTAGTATGCTTATTCTTCTGTCTCTTGATTTGTTTTAATAACACCAGGAGCAGTTTTTGGCAGTAGATTTTGCTGAACTACTGGCAATCTACTACGTAAGGACTGGCAACAGCAGATAGAGTTACCTTAAACCATTTTCAGATCACCCAAAAAATTTGGCAGTCACAGTACAGTAAAAAAAAAGAAGGAATTGCTTACCTCTTTTTGAGGATCAGGCTCACCAAACACTCCAAAAGAGGCAATCTCCAATTACAAACACTATCCTTGTAGTTGCCAGTCCTTAAATGAGGTTTGGAAAAGGTGGAGCTAGGGTCCACCTTTTTGGGTTGCACAGGTGAATTGCTTCCACCTGTGCTCCTTGGGCTGGCTATGCTCTTTCACCAGGTGCTCAATCACCGGTTCAGGCTGTGACTTAACAGTTTCCATACCCTCTATCACTGGTTAACTTTTTCAGTCACAACAAACTAGTGATGCTAACTAATATTGCTAGCAGTTAGAGGCAGTGTAGAAGAACTGAACCAAAAATTCAAAGTAAATAATTAACTTAGCCATTTTATTTATTTTGTATTTGTGAATTATCTGCATACATATCTAAATTTTCACATGCTCATTTCACAATTGCTGAAAATATTTCATCAAACAGTTATTAACATGAAACTAGTTTATCCATTAGGAAAAATTCCCTTCTTCCACTCTGTAAGGACTTTCATGAAATCCAGCCCACTGTGAAATCAATGAAAAAGCTCTCACTAATTTTGTGGTGTTGAGATTCATTATTGCATTCTTTGTCTATTCCTTGCTTATCCATAATTAACTTCTACTGAAATTGGCCTTGCACAAGACCTACTTAATTGACTGTGCTCTTCTACTAATGTTAATAGCCAAACACGCTCAAACTGTAAAATATACAGACACAAAATTTTAAACATTTTCAGCAAATTTCTCAACACCAAAGATTAATATTCGTCTTTCTAGAAGCTTATTATCTTCTCTCCAGGGTATTCCCATTAGTAAAATCTTAAGTACTTGAATGCTTACATGATGAATATGAAAGATCACTGTACCGGTGAGTAGTGAGATTCTGCTGACCAGCCCATGAAGAGATTACATAGATATCTATCTAAAGCTGCTAAAGCTCTGCTGATTCATTGCAGCAGGCAGTAATAACTACACACGAGAGATGAAAGGATTATATCTAGTCTTTAGGGAATGGCTAATGGAGATATGGAGATCTATAACGGAGGAAACCTGCAAGAGAGTCTTTGAAACAGCCAAGCACAGGGAAGAGAATTAGGTTAAATATAAAAATATATATGTGTTTAATCCCAGAGATGAAAGGGAATTCTAGATTTACTATGGATGTGCTTTTGCTCATCTAACACTAATTTTTTTATTAAAGGTTAGGAATCAGATCTAATTCAGGCATTTCTGTGAAGCCAGTGGAGAGAAAGAAAAGTCTTCAGAATACAATTTACTTTATCATAAAAAGAAAAAAATAGGAGGGGACAGGGAGTGGAAATAAATAAGTAAACCCAGAAACCATGAGGAAGTAATATGAGTAGGTCTGCTTTCTAAGGGAAACTGAGACAGTAGTGGCTGGTGGTCCCCAGAAAGGCTAGCAGGGCCTGACCCATCACTCTCAGCTTCCCAGAGGCAGATCCTGAGGTGGTGGACAAGCGAGAGTCCAGATCATAATGCAACTCCATGGAGATGAGGCAGGTCCAAGACAAAACACTCTAAGATAAAGCCAGGAAGTACATCTACAGATTGAGGTTTGGATCAAGGTCTATAGCCAAGCAAGGAACTGGCTGTGAGTATTCCACAGGCCAGCACTTCTCCAGGGTAGACCAGAGCAAGGGGCTAAAGAGTCAGGGGCTGACCTTCATGCTTCTGAGCCTTGGACAGGGTGTTCCAAATGAGTTACAAAGTCCCATATGAAGTTGGTCAGGGTCATTAAGTCATATTAACGCACTCAGGGACCTGCTACAAGTTCAATCTTCCTCAGATATACAAAGACAGTAAGGCACCTAAGTGCAGTTTGCACAAGTAGGTTAGGTACTTATCTCCTACGATTTCAATATATCCTTTAAGCAAACCCCATCGCTGAAAATATTCTCAACATTTAGAAGTAGATTATACTTGTTGTTTCACTGTATTACTTTTTGATGGAACTGTTCCACATTTCTCCTTCCATTTCTGGCTACTCATTTTTAGCTATGCATTAAATCAGTCTGGAGACTCAACTCCATTTCTGCCTACTCCAAGTCTGAGGTACCATGGGGAAATTGGCTCAGATGTTAATCAAGTCATTCTATTATAGTTAAACAGGGCAAGACTTTATTGATCAGATGCCTTTCTTGAGCCATGACTTTGAACTGAATTACACAAGAAAAAACACTCACTTCCTTTTAATTATCAGTTCTTGCTGTTTCTACTTGACACGAATTTCTATTCTAAATCTTTCAATATAGGCTGAATCTTTTCAGGATGTAATAAAATATTTAGATTTCTTTCCTTTTCCTGGTGTCCAAAAGCAAAGGTTCAACTAATTCTCTTCTTGGGAAAGGCCACTATTTTTCAAAACCCAAACATGTCTCCAAGGTCCTCTAAGATCTGTTCCATCTAACAGCCAAAATTTTACTCCACACTTTTTCATCAGCCAAGTTCCAGTGTCATTTTCAGATCCCTAAATTCCCAGCAGTTCTAGAGTTTTTCCATGTATTAATAGAATATTTTGCTGCAAGTAACAGATTCAAAAAAAAAGATTACTTCAACCAGTGGTGAAACACAGAGCCTAGTATCAGCCAAAAATTTATATGCTGTCTCTTTTATTATTTCTTTCCCAACAACATAAACAATAGGATGTTTACATATCAAACACAGGGATCATCAAACCTTCATCTCAAGGTGGCATTCAAAATCAGTTAATTACATACAGTTTGAACATCTAAGCTATTCTTGTTCCATATAATGCCCTCTTGTAAGTACAGTATAAACTAAGGTTATTCAAATAAGTATTATAATTACTCCTAAGCATACCAGGAAAAGGAAGTAAAAGTCTTCAAGAATGTTTTTAAGATTAGGAACTTTGAATGAATTTCACTTCCACGAGTATAATGTACATTGAAAAGAACAGCATTAAGCCATTTTAAATACACCTGAGGTATATTTTAAATGTAAGGGGAAATAACTTTACTCAACCAAAACCCTGTTTAAATATATATATATATATATATATATATATATATATATACATATATATATATTTTAATAAAGAAAAAGCATAGTTACTGAGACATCTCAGAGAAGAATACCTACAAATTACAAAATTTACTGGTATTTGAAGGAATTTCTATGCTTTTGAGTTGGTGTCATCAGAGAACCACAATCTCTCAAAGGAATATAAGGCACAGAGTGAAGGATTATTTGACTGACTTCATTTTTCCCTGTTAGACTAGTGCAACATCAGGTATTGTATGGACACGTAACAGATCCTACAGATGAATCTATTCTCACCGCATGTCCAATTTTTAATTCAGATGAGAGAAGAACCAGGAATTTGCTCATCTCATCTCTTTTGAGGTACAAATCCTGCAGATCCCCAGTGGTGTAGTGGACCAATGGCACAATCCTGCAACCATTAAAGTCACTAGGAGTTGATATCAGCACAGCAGCAGGTGCAAATGCAAAAAGAAAGAACGAGGTCCAGATGTTTTTCATTCAAAACACACTGTGATATTTTTGAAAGCAGCAGTGTTTCATCATTAGTCTATAAACACTGTAGATACAGTGTATATTATGTGAAGGAATTTACCCAAGACAAAAGCAATTTCCACATAGTCTTTTCTTTATAAAATCTAATGAGCTTTCAGAGACTAAAAAAAGAACTAGAGAAAAGGTCAACATGAAGTTACAGTATTAGGCCTGGTTATGGCTCTGTGTCCTCTGCAAAATCTAATGCTGATATCATTACCACCAAATCAATGCAGTCAAAATTTTTATCCTGAAACATGTTTTTTGTCATAGTTAACTACAGAAATATTAACAGCAACCAAAGGAGAATAAAAACAGAGGTTTGTAAAATGCTGCTTCCCTTTGGGCTATTCCCTTGAGGAATAGTAAGAAGAGAGGGGTTTGTAAAAACAAACTGACACCTGCAAAACAAATTATAGTTAATTACAGCCGCAATAATAATTTCTCTTAATCACCCAAGAGCTGACTTACAGTAGCTGGTGTCAGTGCTGAGACACAGTGCCCACCACCTCACTGTGCTCACATCCACTGTCTGGTCTCCATAAGCACTCAGCAAATACCAAGGAATGTCAAAGGGTGCAACTTTTTCTGCACAGAGGAGTTGAATTCCATACCTTTGGTTCAGAGACATTTCCGTGTCAGACACCATTTTGTCAGACTGCCCTTCTGCTGCCATCTGTATCACCACAACAAAATTGTGGGATATTGTCAGGAAGGTTCAACCTCTACTTTCATACTACCAGTATCCACCTTGGATGTTGTGGGTCAACACGATAAAATAGGAGGCATTATTTTCAGAGCTGCCCTCCTACATTGTAACAGCATATCTTGCAGCAAATCAAGAAGAATGGGAGCAGAAAACCACAGGGTGCTGCTTCTCAAGAGTGAAACACTGAGCAAGGAGGATGCAGACATCCCGGGCTGTGCTTTCAGTGCACAGGCTTTCTATAGGCTACATGCCAGGGGTAAGACGAGTCAGTAACACCCGGTGGCCCGCTTCCCAGCTACACAACAGGATTATTTCTTCCCTTCTCTCATGTATGTTCTGCTTCCCTCAGTTGCAGGCAGCATCTCAGCAGTGTTGTTCCTGCCACAGAAACCTCTCTGCAAGAGTCTGGCTTAATGGGCTCCTTGGGGATCTATGAGCACGGATAGAGGAACAGCAACCAGAAATCAATGGGCAAAGAAGACATGTATGTGTCATGAGGTGAGAGTCTCGCAAGAACAGTTAAGCTCAGGATCCCAAGAGTTTGGTGAACATAAGGTCCTAAGCACAAACTAGAATCAATTAATCAGTGTTAGCAACACTCCGACCATACCCAGAGAAGCAGTGGACCTCTGTATACAGACAAAAACAACAGGGTTATACATTAACCTGCTGACACAGGGACCCCTAAAGAGTTTCTAAAGACCTACATAGGAGCCCCAGCTGAGTGGGGACCACCATCCATTTCTAGTAAATGTAAAGCATGGTTAGTATCCTGCTGCTCTTCTAGCTGAGTCTAGGTGTGAGTTGTAAAAAGG